AGAATCTTTAGGCTACATATTCTATGAAAATAACTAACATAAGCAATTTGGTTCGCCTCGTCAGCCTTCTCCGTTATAGCATTGTCTTTTTGCTTGACTAAGCAGGCTGTTAGGAACACTCCGTTTGAGGGATTGGCTGATTGCTCTCTTCTGACTTATGCATAATCTTCTCTTCGGTAAACCGAGGTGCGTGGGGCTCCATCGGACTTTCGCTGTATGAGAACAAACAGAAACAGAAGTTTACTGTCAATTACCCTTTCGAGTGTGGATTTAATCCTACGGAATTGCTGAATTTATGTTGTTGAACAGCATTTCCAGTTGGTCCTTTTAGCGACTACCAACTTGCCATCTGCATATCGCAGCCCCAATTTACGGTCGTGATCGCAGGCACCCATAGTGGGCGTCTAGGCCGACATGGTTGACACTGCCCTCATTGGCGTATCGAGCCTCGAGAAATTCTCTCACCCGTTTTGTGTTGGCAACGGCGACGACCTCACTCCCATCCCAAAAGAATTGGTGGCGACGGGCAGTCAGTATGGTTTCTTTAACGAGAACCCAGGCATCGACCCGTATGACCGACGTAAACGCAAGAACTATTATCATACGGGATGCGGTAGATCGCATTCGTTTTTGCTCTATGGGGATAAAATCATCTGAGTGCAGTGAGCACGTGTTTGTGGGCAACGCGGATACCGAATATACTTAGCTGTCGGACGAACACTTCAGAGGCTCCCTGCATTTACGGCTAAAAGCGGAATTTCTGCGCCACGACTTCTCTATTTGGGGTGGGGCCTTGCTATTGTGTCTGACACCTGAGGCAGTTCTTCACGGAAATCATCAAACATCCTTTAGATAGAAACAACCAATAAAGGTAAGCTAGTTCTTTCATAAAGATATCGTCGTTGCTGCAATAACGGTAGGCCTGGTGGAGGAGAGTTCGGACGCATCACCAATTCGCGCAGCATTATCTTGGACAGCATCTCATATGCTAAAGTTCCTGCGTGTATGTCGGTCATACGGGTCGATGTTTGGGCACCCGTGTTAACGAAACCATACTGACTGCCCGTCGTCATGACCCTCAGCCCCTACTATTGCGCACGTACCCAGGTGCAGATAATCCGCTGTATCTGATGGACTTTGGCCCAAAGATACATATCAAATCGCAGTCCGAGCCCATAAGTCTCAGCAACGCATCGCAATACGTCAAGAACTCTCAGGTATTCCCTCCGAAGATCAAAGTCATTAAAGCACGTCCTAATGAATGCATCCTACCGTCTGTTGTCGTGCAGTATTCTTTAATACCACACGACCTGGCAATTTAAAGTGAGTCAAAGCCTACAGGACAATCTTACTGAAATACAAATGAGATGGCATTCAGACGTGTTTAGGCTCTTCCTTAAAAACCTATTGTCAAATCGATGACAAGCATCGTCAACAAGCTAGGGGTACCCCAAATGACTCGTTAATATCGGGGGGCATCGGTTTTTGGACGTGAGCAAACAAAAATCAGACGTGGCGAGCATGCGCTTCGAATGATAAGCGTTAGATTAGATGTCCTGAAGAATGGTGCTGATGCCATCCAGCGCATGCAAAAATGAGTAGCAGGATGGTTTAGAGGGTCAGTCATGACCCGCCATGTCGACTCAATTCGGCAGGTTTATCCCCTCTTATGAGTGGTTATGCTGCAACCTGGCCTGAACATTCTAAATTCTTAGAGGCCATAGCCGCTAATCAAACTTGAAGTCTTAAAGACAGGGGCGAGTTGCACGCACAACCACGCAAGGCCAGCAGTTTTCGAAGTCTGATGGGTCAACGAGAGGTTTCCGAAATAAACAGCCAGGAAATACAACTATTGGGCAACCTTTACCAAGGCGAAGGAGCGCGCACATGACTCAGCAGAAAGTGGCAGTATTCCTTCTCACCAGCCGGGTTCAGCCGTTTTAGGCTATTAGCCCTGCGCAAAGAGCATGCCTGCACTCTGGATTTGTACACCGGATGCAAATCAGCTAGGAACGCTGCGTCGACTGGCGCCCAGCTCTCAACACCGGTGCCAAGTCACGCGCGACAAAAGCAATAGACTGAGCGGGGGTGCTAGGGATGCTTCAGCTGGAGGCGGCATGGGCGGCCGGCAGCGCTAGCAAACCCATCTCACATACCGCAAAAGCACTAGCAAAACTACCATCACAACTAACAGCATTACCGGTGAGGAAACTCGAAAAATTCTACCTACCATCATTATCGCCCTTCCACCAACAGTGTGGACACAGTCCCGGATACACCTACCGCCACCGCATCAGCCTAGTTGATCACTTGCAAATCCGCCGCCTCGAGGCTAGTATGCCAGTTTCAGGAGTCCAGACATACGCCCACCACAAATGCCCTGCCTGTCCACACTGCTCCAGGACAATCGGCTACATGCTCGTACATAAGAATCGCCGGCGGAAAATTGTAGTCTGCACCCACCACAACCCTACTCCCTGCCGGTACGACGGCCGAAGTGTGCCATACGGAGAGGGCGCAGAGTGGTGACGTACGAATGAATTGCTTTGTGTACAGTACACACCATCACCCATCTTGCCCTGGAGGAAAGACGACTGGAGGAAGATTCGGGGGCATTGCTGGCAAAGATGAACAGCCTGCTTGCGCATACACACACATTTGGTGCCCATTACATGATGCAGTCCCTCTTCCAGGACTTGGATATCAAACACACGAGTCCCACAAATGTCGCATTAAGAAGTAGCATGGAGCCTAACACTATTCCAGCCACTCAGCACACAGTATTGACCTAGGGGACTGAGCTATTCCACCAGTTAGCAATCATCTAGGCCACAACAGTTGGCGCGCCGAGACAGGCTGAAGAGCATCAGATCCGTTATAATGATGGATGCGCCGTGCCGTGGGGGATGATTGCCCAGCATAATCTCAAGTCACTTCCGGCATCAGCAGCTGGCTCTGTACCACTCTGCCCCTCGAAGAATGGCACCTGCAACAGAATGGAACTCGTGAGGTGGTGTGGGAATCCTCGAATTGAGATGTTCGAAAATCGCAGCGCCCAATTACCTGGCATAAATGATAAATAGGCCCTAGTTATAAACGCCACCGCCTATTTCCAAAATTAAAACACCATCCCAGCGCACTCTGCACAACAGAATTCGGAGGACGGACTGCTAGCCGAGATCCGAAATAGCCGTTTTAGGATGTCTGAGCATCTAGGTCTGTTTTTGCATGTATGGCACGTCAAGCCGTCCCCCGTGACTGCAGCTGTTCTCCAACTCCATTTCCTTGGGAGATCATGAACAGATAGCCCGGAATAATAAAAATCAGACCCCGTCTTCGGAAAATTCATTATAGCTGTCAGACTTCCATGGACGCACGAACACGAAGCAGGACACTTGGTACTGCGTAACATAGCTAATCCAACGTACTAACCCTGGAAATAAAACACCGATCTCAACAGACGACCAGCCATTGCTTTGTTATCTCTGCATTCTCCAAACCCATCGACCTAAGGCCCGTTTGGAGAGTTACTGAGGCCGATGCCCAAGCATCTGAACACTAGAGGTATAGTGTCAAAGTAAAAGAAAACGCCCGGGTATTTTGGAGTCCCGCGCTGGACTTTTGTCGCAATGACGCAAAAAGCCGTATGTGGGTGATGCCACCACATTACGGGCCTCCTTCATAGATTAACGGCATCACGGGCTACGCGCCTTAGATTAAAAAAGTCCCCTTCCCTTCCTGGATGGGTCGCGATGGTAGATTGCTGTTCACGTATATTTTTGGGAGGGGCCAATTCTGGAATGGAATCAAACCCAACGCAACTCGCGTGCGGCACATTCAACCACCGAAAATGTCCGCAGCACCACTGAGAGGTTTGAAGGATTAAAAAAGTCCGCAATTAGGGCTGAACAACTCGCCGCTGGAATTGCCAAACTTAGCGCCTGCACACTGAGGACCGGTGAAAGACCTGGTTTATCGAAAGCCGGCGTACCCGCGGAATGTCACAACCTTAGCCAGGAAACACGACCAGGGTGTGAACTGCCGATCATTGACATAAACCGACAATGATGCAGTGGAGGTCACTACCATCAACGTTTTATCGCGTACACAAAAAGCCTGAGTGGAGTACAGCCAGCAATGCCCCTTAACTAGCCGCTGGGGCTGACTTTAGGATAACTAGTTAAAATGTGAGTCTAAAGCAGTGCGACATCAGATATCAAGATTCTCATAAGTGGAGCTCGAGCACGGATGGCGGTGATTCCCGATGCGACGCAAACTTGGTTGGACCAAATCCCGGCGATACCCAATGAGTGTTTGCATAAAATCTTGCAACCTAACCTCTCCTTCGTACGAAGTAACTCGCATTGGGGAAATCCAAAAGCATACAATCCCGTCATATCAGTGGAGATGACGAACAGAAGTCAGCTGGGGCGTTGGGTTAAAAAGAGGCGTTTTCTCTAAATTTGCGATGCATGTTTGGCCACTAAAGAGAAGCGGGTCGACAGCGACGCCGTATTCAGCTAAACCGGGCATGATCAAATAAGTAGTCGTCCAGGCACTTTAGTGACGCGCCTGAACGAAAACTGTCCAAATAAAAACGGAAGCAGACGAATCACCGGAAACACAATCAATACTGCGACCGCCATGGATAAAAACGGCAGTTTGGGAGACACAGGGGACGTACATGCATGGACGCCGTGAAAACGATAACCTACGGTTCGGCATCAGATCGAGACAAAACGAAGGAAACTAAGATACGTAAGCACTTGTGTAAGATCAAGAAACGCTGCTGTCAAAAAAGCAAACAGACCGGCAAACTAAGACTAAGGATAACAAATGCCCGAGTTCACTACATGACAAAGGTGCTCTAACCACACCAAAATGAATCAAGGTCAGTGAACACACCTGAAAGTAGCAGGGCCATGACGTCAGACCAAAATGGCCAAAAAACGCCATTCGGTGCAGTAAAAAGACTCAGGCTCCTATAAATTTACTTTATTTTACAGCACCCATTCAGGGAATTCAATCTGCACATCCTTCCCGGACAGCTTCTTGTAGAGCCCGGTGATGGTCTTCAGCTATGGAAATGAATGAGCGTAAAAAGGAAAGCAAGTACCTTATGCTCAACATAATTCCTTTGGGCGATATCGAGGTGGCACTTAATTAAGGAACTACCATCCACTCTCACTTGTGTACGCTTGCCGACGATTTCTGCAGGGAAAACGATGTCAGTTAGAATAGACTGATGCACAGAGGTGAGGGTTCGATTGCGCGGCCTCTTCTGCTTCGGGTTCGTCTTGCACTTTCGGCGTGGTTTAGGCAAGATACGCCTGAACGCACATATGAAGACCTGGGCGCCACGAAGCTTCTTTTCAAGTTCGCCCACCAGGCGGTTGTGAAGTTGGTGATATGTTCGCAGCTGTGGAACAGGGACATAAATCACAATCGCTCGTTCATGGCCTATCATAAACTCCTGCAAAGATAAGTGGTAGATGGATGAGGATAACCTTGGCGCCACAGAAGTAGAGCATCTTAATAGACTCCGACATGCTCTCATGAGACTGAAGGTCGACAAGGGTGTGTGCAATCTCCTCCTCAAGAGGCGTTGGTGGGGTTTTGTCGGGTTTAAAGAGTTTCGCAAGTGCCATTTCGACTATAGTTTGTAGGAAAGTATTACGGAAACAATGCAAGCCCAAACCCTATGCCAGACACTCCAAAAGCGTGAAATCTCAGCGGCCCGCGGAAATACTGTGATGATACGTTTAAACAACGAGACGAAGATTGCAATAAAATAATTGATTCCCTCATATCTTTGAAAAGATGGAGGGCTATACTGGCTAGGGAGAAAGCTGAAAAATTTGGCTTTATAAAAGTGTTTTGTTTAAAGGTCTTAACTATCGTCAAAAATTCCATCAAACAACGCACTTATGACTGCATTGAATGATGCAATGGTCGGGGGTAGATAAATATACGAGAGGGTTCAAGTAGACTGTTCCACTTTACCAAACAATGAGCGCTTTTGTGGCTGGATTGTTGCTTCTGTTCTGGATTTACGTCTGCACGAAATCCGACATATTTTCAATGCCTGCATCTTATGCCACCATCAGCATCACCGGTGCGATACACAGCACGTATGACCAAAAGAAGCGAAAACAAGCGTTTTTAACAACAAATAAGGGGCAGGGGCTAATGTCCTTAAAACTTCGATGGTGGAGAAGGTAGTAGTGAAGTGGGTAAAGGTAATGCCATAGTGTAGATTATATTAGTGATGTCATTCGAGCTGACATACTGTTCGTTCAAAGGCTGTATGTTAGGGTCGGATTGCAAAGTAGCGCGGTGGCAACAAAATAGCTAGAGACCGCTACCTTCTGTGGATGAGCATTTTCGACCGGTGGTTTTAGGAATTTATGGGATATAAGTGAGCGTCTAGGACTGTTGGGACAGCAACGGTATAATTCGGTATAATTCAGGATATGTGAGGGACAGAGACAGAGCCTTGGAAAACGGCACAGCCGAGACTTTCGTAGTCATTGGTGTACATATCCGAAACCTTGGTTAATCGCGTGAAGTCAAACAAAGATCGGATTCACCATCTGACTTGAATTGACGTCGGCGCGAGAGCGCCATGACCACTTGTAAGATACAAAGCCCGACATCTTCATTGTATTCGGTGAATTTCCAATGGACCGATTCACGGCACAGAAGATGAAAATCGAAAATCTGTGTCACATATGCATGATGGCTGGGTAAATAACGAGGGCGGATACATATGTATGTTTTCTGGGTTTCTGTGAAATATACTGACGAAAACGAATAGATGGTTACTAGCTGCTGTGATCCGAAAATTTTTCTAAGATTGGAGATGGCTAGAGGCTATTTTGATTTATTTGTGAAACTGGAGGTTCCAAGGTTATAACTAAACGGATTATGCTAGGTTAGTTCCATCGAGAACAAGGAGTTGCAGAAGATCTCCGCTCTAACTCCACGTTTTCTTCTGGGTCGATGAGCAGCGCCCATCCGCTGACCCACTTGGTGTGTTCACAGGTACACACTTGTGATAGGGTGAGTTTGAACGTACGCGGACTGTTGGAAAACCTCTCAGACAAGTAAGGGAATGGCCTTCCCACTAGTCCCATTGTGGGTGCCATTACGCCCCTGGCGTAAATTTCTACTCTGATTGCCCTTCTTATGTTTACGCGTGTGGACAGCATAAATGTAAACTGCTTTTGGATGCTACTGCTCCGTGATCAGAACTGCGTTATCACAATAAGCGAAGCCTGTCCCCCAGTTTTTTGTATTTATTAGAGATGCATACTGTTTCGTGCCTTAGGTAGTTTGGGAGAATTTTTTCCCCATAAACAGTGCGAATTTAAATGTAAGGAGTTAATTTCGGTCAGTTCCCTTAGACTTTCGAATTACTTAAGCACGTATATTTTTCGTGGACAATGTGTAAGTCTATCCTTACGAGAGGCATGATGGCATTAATATAAGGCTTCTTTCTCGAACTGAAAGATGATTAGTACAGTTAAGAAAACATTTATATTAGAATTTGGGTGCTGGCAAATCGGCCGTGATTATCACGGCTTTTGACTTCACAGCAATGGAAGCGGGTTTTGGCGCTGGAGGTTATTTCTACGTGATCTCACTTAATAATGGGTGATATACTACATCTATAATTACTTAACTAGCAAGTGGCACCCAATTAAAGCTGGCCATCGGATGACCGTTGGCTCATATGGAAACGGATTCAGTAGCTAGTAACCTGCTGCAAATAGAGTTCCTGTAGAAAATGATTCACTGGTCTCATTGAAGATCAGTCAGCAGTCAAGTGGAATTTCTATGTCACAGAAACGTATACGTTTTCAACATCACCGACTTCGTAAACATATGGAGTTGCAGTGCCCATGGGCAGTATGCGCTTGGGAGGTTAATCTAACTCCAACTACAGAATGAACAATTAAGGGGTATTTTATGTATGGAAAGCAGTCACAACAGCTAATTCGGAATCTAACACGTCTGAATTCGCTAATGTTTCCATAGTCCCTAATATGTGCAGACAATCGAAGACCAAGTAATGTTTATGTTTGAAAATTTTTGACAAGGTTGGCGATACTAATACGCAAAGACAAGACGTTTACCCTCCGGTTATGCATATCATTTGTTAAGTGCCGGCTTGGATTAACGGTTCCTTAGGGAGGTGGTGGTGCAGGCGCCCACAGATAGTGAAAACAAAGTCGAAAAATTACCAGCAGACCTTGGAGACTTTGCGTATTGTGTTCTGGTCTGGATGATAATAACGCAGTTAAAATTCATATGACACGGATAGAATTCGCCATTGTGTCTACCGCTAGCAATTTGAGCTTACATTCTGTTATGTGTGCAAAACAGAAGGCTAGTTATAAACAGGACGTGTACCGAGTACGAAAGACAGCAGAAGTGGGGAGCCTTGTAGAAACGGATGGGCATATGGCAGAGGGAATATCATAGGCTGAAGGGTGGCCAATCAGCACCAAGGTTGTCTGAAAAGGGGTACACGACCTTGGTCTCGCGCATGTGACGTGATGTGTAGACAGTCCGGGCAGCATACGCTGCACCCGTCCACCCTAAAGTGGACAGAATGGGAAGAAGGGAGAAAACAATAAAGTTAATAATGGGTAGATAAGCAGCGTTATAATGGAATTCGTCCTACAAGCGCTATACAGGTTTGCGGATTCGGGTCCATCTTCGCAAAGCGGTATTTTCGAACTCTGCGCCGCTTTGTGGAGTCAATGGTTCCTCTGCCCCTGAGTTAGTGCTAGCCGGGGAAGAAGAAGAAGGAGGGGTGGCGGAGACCAGTGGGCGTTGTGCTCTGTGCAGGCAATAGGTGTTCAGTCCTCGGGATGTTGGGATCCCTATCAGGGGTTGCTGGCAGTTCGAACTTTCCGAATTCTCCACTTACTGCGTCCGTTCGGCTACTCAATCGGTCCACATGTCGACGCACAATTATCTCATAATCTAACCCTAATTCAACTTTTTGCCCCTCGCGTGTAGACACTTTAATCAGGCGCAACGACACGTGATCGGACGCCCACATCGTATCGTGCTTTCATCTTCGTCTGTTTTGCGATGACTCTATTATGCGTTTATGGATTAAGCAGGTCGAGTCGTGTGCGCAACTGCCGCTTGAACATCAATTCTGCAGGCGAAGCACCCGTTGAGTCGTTTGGTGTTATGCGATAGCTGAACAGAAGGCGTGACAACTTGGTGGCCAAGTCCACTTCCATCTGTTTGGCTAGTCCGTGATTTATTGTCTGGACTGCACGCTCTGAGAGGCCATTTGAAGCAGCGTGGTACGGGACAGTAGTTAAATGTCTAATTCTATTTTTCTCCATGAAATCTTTCAATTCTGCACTGGTAAAGGCCGCGCCATTGTCTGAAAGGACCATTTCAGGTATCCCAAACGTAAAAAAACGGTTCGCAACTTGCTCATTGTAGTCAGTGAAAAACAAGAATTCCCTGTCGGAATTACATCAATCCATTTAGTGTGTGCGTCAACCACCAGCCAGACCATATGGCCTTGGAATGGCGCAAAATAATCGACGTGTACCCTCTTCCACGGCGAGTGGGGCCAGGCCCAAGGCTTCAGAGGAACCTTCGGTAAGGTCTTCTGTGTTATTTGACACACGTGACATGCTTTCACCAAGTTTTCAATATCCCCGTCAATTTTGGGCCATCAAACATGGTTGCAGACGAGAGCTTTCATTCTAACCGTGCTAGGATGAGCATTATGCAGGCCTCTGAGGGTGGCTTGTCGGCTTGGTGGTGACAAAATTACACGAATGACCCATAGTATGCATCCGCCTTGTAGACTTAACTCGATCTAACGGCTGAAGAATGGTAGAAAATCAGAGGAGGAAGAGGACAACCAGACAGATTGTAAGGCTCTTTTTACCCAAATTAGGAAAGGGTCTCTGGATGTCCACTGGCGAATTTGTTGACAGGTTACAGGTGCGTTGGCTAGGTTCTGCAAAAGATTAGCGGTCTCAAAAACAGGGGTCTCGTTAATGCCATCGTCCACAATAGGAAGCCTACTCAATGTGTCAGCCACTGCGTTTGAACTACCTGTAACGTATTTCATTGCATACGTGTAAGCAGACAGAGTAAGTGCCCATTATTGCATTCTTGGCGAGGACATCTGTTGTATCCCTCGTTTTTTCCAGCAAGCCTAACAGGGGTTTGTCAGTCAGTGTATCTGAGGGAAATGGGCCTACGCATTTGAACTCCCTATTTGTACATAAAAAATCGATAAATATGCAAAACTGTGAAGAAATTACAGCATTAAATGAATGCAGACATTGATTCACATATGTCACTGGTCTCATGGCTAAAAAGTCACATAGTCCGCTTATTGCTGCAGCATGTCTGTCAAGCCGACATTTGAATGTCTCCACAGATTGAGACATGACAACCGTCTCGGGCAGATTATTCCACGGTTCCATGGCACGGCTGGAGAAGAAATATTCTCTCACATTCAGTCTCCCCTGGGGCACACGTAGCTTGAAGGGATGTC